GTCTTAGAATGCAGTGATCCAAACTATAAAAAACTATCTCTGCCCTTTGATATCTTCTTTCATGATGTTCTCTCCTCTCTTTAGTGGCTTTGCTTCCTCTGCCAGTTGACTAAATCCTGTAGATCCCCAACTCTCCCCATTGGCTGTCACTACTTTTTATGTATTTGTCTCTATATCTCTTCATCCTCCCAGGGTGATTTTATCCACTCTGGCCATTTTTAGTCATGAATCCCAAAATCTTGTTCCTAAACTTAAGGAGTCGTGATATAGCTTAGTTATATGGCACTTGCCTAACATATGGAAGGCCTTGGGTTCTATCACCAGATGAAAAAAAAAAATCCAGCTACCACTACTGCCTGTTTTTCCATGCCCATACCTTTGTACACTACATTACACCTATACCTACTTCAGATGTGCCTACCAGGCTGAGAGACACAGGAGCCCCTATCTTCTCTTTCTATAATGCCCTGAGCATCTCCGCTTATATACAGAGTGCTTTTTTTTTTTTTTTTTTTTTGTGTGTGTGTGTGTGTGTGTGTGTGTGTCTTTTTGAGACAGGGTTTCACTATATAGTTCAGGCTGGCCTTGAACTCACTTTGTAGCCCAGGCTGGCCTCGAACTCACAGCGATCCTCCTGCCTCAGCCTCCCAATGCTGGGATTACAGATGTGTGCCCCCACACCAGGCCCAGACTTTTTTTTGTTGTTGTCTGTTTGTTTTGTTTTGTTTTTCTGGTGCTGGGGATCGAACTCTGGACCCTGTGCATGCAAGGCAAGAGCTCTACCACTGAGCTACATCCCTAGCCCCAGACTGTTTTATTATGACCTTCTTTTTGAGTGTGTATTTCCATGATACTAACTTTCTCAACAACTGGTTACCAATCGTAGGGATAACACTTACTGTTCAATACATTTTAGAACAGCTTCTATTCTTAATCTGAATACGTGTACCTAACAAGCCATTAATTACAGTTTGTCTTCAGGGAAGAAAAATAAATTCAAATTCAGGTTCACAAGCTTAACCATTTATTACTCTATTATAAACTGAATTGTGGATGTTCTATACTTAGTGAAATAGCCAGAAACATTGTTTTCATGGTTTGCTGCTGCAATCATCATAGGATTACTAGAGTGTTTATCTCCATAGAGCCATAGCTACTGTTACTCACACCAAAATCCAGTTTCACACAGAATTAAGAATAACTACTATTCATTAAGCATAGTGCTCTATAGGAAATTCAGAGCTCTCATTCACATTGTCTCACTGAATCCTTCCCAAATCCCACCATAGTACACTATTATTATGCCCGTTTTATAGTTGAAACCGAGATGTAAAGAGATAATGTTTCAAAAATCAGAAGACTATGAAGCACCTAAGCCTCATTCCAGAGAGCTTGAGTTCTTAAAGTAAGGCTTATGACCTTCCCACCGCTGAAAAGGGCTTTGCAAAGTTTGCATTCAGTGTGCCAATCACCAGTTACAGGGTGGACTAACCCTTTTGATTCCAGACCAACCAAACTCAACGGACCAGTTCTCAGTAACACACAACTCAAGACTGGCTCTGCAAGAAAAACAAAGATCAAACCAATCCTGGCCAAATCACAGCCTGTCACACTGAAAGCGCTTATCCCTGCAGGAAAGAGTATATGTGCAAATGAAACTACGCATTGTAAATCTATTAAAATCCTGAATTCAGTCCATTTGTGTCTTAAGTCTTCTTTCACATGGTCTCTATTGCCTTTTAAATTAACCCAAAGAACAAGTGTTTATTCACCAAGGACCATCAGCTGAATTGATTTTGCAGGAAGCATGCCTTCCTTTTAACTGTCAATAAATTATTCAGTTTAAAAAAAATAAAAGAAAGAAACTCTCAAAACCAGAAATTAAGTGAAGAAGCTCACTGAACTTTGAGACAGAAGTATTTGATTCTAAGAATACGTGGGGCAGTAGGGTGGAGATGGAGCTGTTACTAGATTGCATCTTATCTACCTGCTTTTTGGGTAACAAGATTAAACAGACTGATGTGAGCATCAGAAAAAGGCAGAAGTGTTTCTTTCTTATAAATGTGTTGGTGGCCTTTATCCTTATTTTTTCATCATTTTGGTAGTAATCTTTCAGATGCTCCATACTGCCAGGAAATTAGACTCATGTCAAAACCAACACATTTGCACACACACATATACATGCTTATACACACACACACACACACATACATTTATCCTTCGGTATCCAGTATCTGTGGGGGATTTGTTTCAATCCAAACGACCTCCTTAGGATTCCAAAATCTGTAGGTTAGGTCCTTTTAACACATCCTCCTGTCTACTTTAAACCATTTACAGATTACTTATTGCTTCGGTAAAGCAATAACTTACCATTATGTAACACACATCTCCTACAGGATCACCAGAATGGGGTCATTACTTCAGGCTGGTAGGAAAGCATGCAGGATTTTTTTTTAAAAAAGGTTATTTGTTGGGTAAAAGTAACCCTGAAAAGCAAAGGTTTTGTTTCATTATAAGGCACAGTTGAGTCAATTCTCACAAACTACAGCGGTGAAAGAAGACTATTATGACAATAAAACCTGAAAAAATGCTTTTAAGACTCCAAATTTTATGTAAATGCTATTTGGTTGTTATACTGTATTGTTTAGAGAATGATTACAAGGAAGTCTGTATATAGACAGTACACATGTAATTTCTCCCATATATTTTCCATCCTATTAGCTGAATCCAGAGAGCTGATTTTATGTGTATATAAATATAAGGGTACATGTGTTGTTCCACTACCCCCAAGTGGTATTACTGAGAAGTAATTCCTTTTTTTTTTTTTTTTTTTTGGTCTTTTTGAGACAGAGTCTTGCTATGCAGTTCAGGCTGGTCTTGAGCTGACTTTGTAGACCAGGCTGATCTTGAACTTGCAACGATCCTCCTGCCTCAGCCTCCAGAGTGCTGGGATTACAGGTATGCGCCACCACGCTCAGCTTATTTTTTTATTTTTTTTAATTGAGAAGGAATTCTAACAAGTACTTTAAAAAAGAAATCCTATCAGGACATTTATCTATAGGGAAATCCATATCCTTGTAAGAAGTGGTATGTCTTTCAACTAGGTACCTAATATGTGACACATAAAAGTGAACAATCTTAGTCCTCAAAGCAGGTGTTATGACACAGGAGGAAACCTTCCGAATAAGAGGTAAGCACTGGCATCAATGACTAGACACCCTGGGGCTACTATGGTACTCCTTCGGTCTATTCTCACATTAGGAGGCAATACTCTGTCTCCTCAAAAAATTGTGTGTGGCCTGACTTTGTATACTTCCAAGATGACCAAAGGGGAGAAGTAATCCCAACATGCACAGAGGGTGTAAGCATTAACAGAAGCTGATCTGTATTATTTACTTGTTCCTTATTCTGTCTTCTGGAAGCAAGGGAAAAAAAAAACCCACAACACATAACAAAACAAACAAACAAACAGACCCTATGTGCCAAGAGAGAAATCCGGATGGCCTCACTCACAGCTGTATCCTTATTACTTTGTATTCAGCACAGCAGATCTCAGTAAACATTGGTGAAGAAATAAAATTCATGTGGGAAAATGGGCCAGAGAGATTTCAGCTCTGACTCACAGGAAAGCTGACTTCAAAGAAGTGAAACCTAAACTGGGATCTTTTTTTGTGGGCCTCGTGGATCAGAATGGTTTGTTGAGAAGGATGAAACGGAAGGGTCAACCAAGGGAGAACAGGATCACTAGTGGACTTGTGTTGCGTCTCGACCTGAAATGTGTTTCTGCACTTAAATCATGTGACCTTACCTTTCCTCACACCGTTACTAAAACAATACTGTGCTGTTACCTAACTCAACTCCTACAGGCATCACTGGAGCAGGGGTCATTACTTCAGGCTAGTGAGAAAACGTGAGGGATTTTTTTTTTTTTTAATTTATTTATTGGTTAAGAAAGCCCCTAAAAGCAAGGGTTTTGTTTTGTGACAAAGCAAAGTTCAATGGAGAAAAGAAGGGAAAAGCAAAAGGAAAAAATATATATAATATATATATATATATATGATAGTTAAGATAGTTATACTACTAATTTCTCTTAGTTCATTGAAAAGATAGGTTTGTGCTAATATTATTTGGACAATTAAATGCTGATATCCTGTACTCTGAGTAACTAATTTAAAGATAACAATACATTGTTGCCCTCCTACCATATTGTTTTGGAGTTTTGTGTTTTTTTTCTCTCTCTTCAAAATAAAATGGTGCATACGAAAAAATAAAGCAAAGTGAAGCCAATTCTCAAAGAATATAATATGATGAAAACAAGACCAATGAGCTAAAATTTGAGAAAAGCATTTTAAAACTCCCAGGCATATGTAACTCATGACTAAAGAATCCACCGCTGGGACGCGTCAAGGAGTGAGGTTCTATCCTCATGATTCATGCTTCTGATTTACACGAATTACTGCACGTTTCCTGCACTTTAAGGCAATCTGAACATATGAGCGCTAGATGAGGAAATCTGATAGGGACACGAAAACACAACAGCTTTTAGGCCAAGAATCTCTTAGCTGAAGTCATCAAGCTACCCTTCGCAGTTATTCTACTTCACCTTTGGGAAAATAATGGCTAGAAAGGCAACTTCCCGTCCCAAACAAGTTCAGGCCCAAGGTTCTCTTTCGAGAACTCTGTCCTGACCAGCCACAAACAGGGGAGGAGAACAGAAGCCCTGGAAAAGTTAAGTACAGTAAAAATAAGTCCAGAGTGGGCAGCACCGCAACGCACCAACCCAGCCTCTCTGAGTCCCGGCCCTGCCCATGTCCAGACTACGGGGACCTCGTGTGTCCCTCACGCACCCTCAACGGCTCAAGGGTGACCTGAGTGAGGATCAAATCAACCCAGAGAGGCACACGCCGGCCGGCCAGCACCAGCACCCGCTCCAGAGGGTTCGGGCCCCGACCCCGACCCCGCTCGTCTGATAGGTCCCGCCACCACACAGCGCTCTGGACTACAGGATTTTCACCGACTTTATTGGCTCCGGACTCCGGCGGGGTCCGCACCGCCCAGCTCCCCCTAGATCGCACGGGCCGCTCCGGACACCCGGCACAGGGCGTGCGGGGCGGCGCGGAAAGGGCCTGCGCTCCGGGGAGCCGGCCCTGCGGCGGCGTCAGGGTCACTTGCTCTTCACCTTCTGACTCTCCGTCTTCTTGGGCAGCAGCACGGCCTGGATGTTGGGGAGGACGCCGCCCTGGGCGATGGTGACTTTGCCCAGCAGCTTGTTGAGCTCCTCGTCGTTGCGGATGGCCAGCTGCAGGTGGCGCGGGATGATGCGCGTCTTCTTGTTGTCGCGCGCCGCGTTGCCCGCCAGCTCCAGGATCTCGGCCGTCAGGTACTCCAGCACCGCCGCCAGGTACACCGGCGCGCCCGCGCCCACGCGCTCCGCGTAGTTGCCTTTCCGCAGCAGCCGGTGCACTCGGCCCACCGGGAACTGCAGGCCCGCGCGGGAGGAGCGGGACTTGGCCTTTGCCCGCACTTTGCCGCCCTGCTTTCCACGACCGGACATGTTTACTTGTCGCCTAAAACTCCAGCGAAGATAAAACAGCAGCGAGCAGCCTCGGTTAGGGAAAGCAGCGTACACACCGGAACTGCTCCTACAAACTCTTCGTGGCCACTAGGCAGCGCCGTTCCCGTTGGGTGCTGCAACATCCTCGGTAATGACAGGCAGGTTCCCCTCCCAATTACAGGGCTCGCCCAGGATCCGCCTCCTCCAGTCTGTCCAATCAAAAGCGCAAATTTCTAGCCCTTATTTACATAGCCGCTTATTTGAATACAGTACGTAGGGCCGGAATGAATTTAATGGAAACTGAGGTTTCAACGTTCGAACTCGCTCCTAGAAAAAGAAATAAGATTTAAGGAAATTATTTTCTAATGCTGGGTAATGAGTGATAGACAAGACAGGAATGCTTTCTGTGCTGATGGGAAGGACAAGCTCACTCAGCCAAAATTTAACATCCCTTGTCTCAGATCTAGGAAAGAGCTTCTGGATTCCATGAGAGGCCGCAAGCACAGTTGCAGTCGCTGAAGCTGAAGTCCTGGCCTTGGCTTGCTCCCTGGACATCACAGCGCCACAGCTCACGTTCCCAACAAGGACACTGAAGACCTGAGCATCACCTCATAAATGCGTCCAGAGACAGAATAGCAGCAATTTATTCTTATATACCTAAGCTGCAGACCCATAGCATCTGAAACAGTGTCTGTTAGTTACAAATTACTTTCTACTAATTCACTGAAGTACTTTCATTTCCCAAACATTTTCCACTATAACACAATTACACTGCTGTGCGAGTAATGTTAAACTTGCCTATTAGCTGGGCGTGATGGCACACGCCTGTAATCCCAGCACTCGGAAGGCTGAGGCAGGAGGATCCTTGTGAGTTGGAGACCAGCCAAGGCTGCAAAGTGAGCTCAAAGCCAACCTATACTGCATAGCGAGACCCTGTCTCAAAAAGACCAAAAAAAAAACCAAAAAAAAAAACAAAAAAAAAACAACAAACACTTACCTATTAAACAATAATTTGTGTGGATTTTAGCATCCATTTAAAAGTGAAACAAGCCCAGGGATGTAGCTCAGCAGCACAAGTGCCTGCCTAGCAAGTATAAGGTCCTGAGTTCATTCCTGTACCAAAAAACAAAAAAAGTGAAACAAATTCCATCTCTCGTCCTGATAAAAGTGTATTGTCATGGTTGAGATAGTCGTCCTGGAACCAGACTACTATATCACCTCCAAATTCTGGCTTTATCACGTATCAGCTGGCCTTTGGTGAATTGTTTAACTTTACACCTATCTCAAAGTATTTTGAAAATTAACCATGTTAGTGAGCATCTAAAACGCTTAGATATACTGAATAAATAGACATACAAATCTCATGCAATTTTTAATAAAATGTTCCTGGGATGATTCCTGTAAAAAAAAAAAGTTTAAATGTTTCCCTATATCACAAGAAATTCTTTAAAACGTTTTAGAATATTATTATGTTGGACATTTTCTTCTTTCATTCTTGTAAGTAGGGGAATTGAGTCACAGATTTTTCAAACACATAGGAAAATTTGATTTAGGATTTTCTCCTAACTGGTGTTCCTAGGCCTCTTAATGAAATCGAAGAATAAAGAGAAAGAAAGAGAAGGAAAGAAAGAAAGGCTTTCTGAGTTATAGACATGGGCAAGAATTAAAACAATTATAAAGTACAAGCATTTAGAAATATAATCCTTTTTTTTTTTGTCTTTTTGAGACAGGGTCTTGCTATGCAGTTCAGGCCGGCCTTGAGCTCACTTTGTAGCCCGGCCTGGTCTCGAACTCACAAAGATCCTCCTGCCTCAGTCTCCCGGGTGCTGGGATTACAGGCATGTGCCACCATGCCCGCCTAATACAATATATTTTTAACATACAGCTTTTCTGCTAGACAGGCTTATCTTTAAGACAAGGGTAAAAGACCCAATTTATTAAAAGATTCATTCTTCAAGATACTAATTAAGTACCTGAGAAGAAATTATGAATTATCTCTATATACTGCTACTTTTGGGGCAATAAAACCTCTTGGGAAGATGGAGAGTCCTGTCTACCATGCACTGGGACAATTCATTAAAACTTTCTTTTTTGTTGAAGGATCCTTTTGAGAGAAAGGAACTGAGGGCCTCTCATTTGGGGAATTGCAGTAAAATCTGTGTCTAAAACCACAGTTCTAGCACCTATTGTTTTACAAAAACTTTGAATTTTTAAGTAGAAGATGTGAGAATCTCGGATTTGAGCGACATGAGAAATTTACACTAATTCAATTCCTTAAGTATACAAACAGTTACAGGGTTGAAAAGCAAAAGCAGAATGCAATTTCCAGGACAGAAGGGAGAAAAGGCAGAGAAATCTGTAAATTTCACAGAAGCAGCTGAAAGGGAAAAAGAGGGGTGAAGTGGGGAGCCGGGAAACGAAAGTTGTTGAAAGAATTTTTCAGTCAGGGCCACAAAAGCAGAGGGGAAAAAAAGTATTACAATATTTCCTCTCAACAATTACTTTAAAGAATCGCACACGGAAGAATCTCTAAGGTAATTGCTTTGACCTAAGACCTAATGAGATATAAAGTGTTTCTAATGAGTTTTGTGCTCTTTTAGACTTGCTGTGCTAGGAGTAAACATTCCGTTTGTGGGAAAACAAAACCAAACCAGAACGAGTGCGTGCTGAGTGAGAACCACATAACAGCACGACAGCACGGTGGGCCCACTTTATATTCCGAAGTGAGAAAGGGCAACATAAATTCTATCACTTCATCGTGCTTAAACTTTCAAACATACCACTGCGAGCCCTTCTTCAAATTTATGGCAAAAAAAATTTTCTTAGGGTTAGAAATTTTATTTTTTGAAAGAAGCATGAAACCAAGCGGGCAGGCTTTTGTGCGAGGCTTGATAGAATCGCGCGGAAAGTCTTGAGAGGCGGGGCCTAGAGCTCCGCCCACTTTCCTCTGGTTTTCAAACAGGTCCGCTCCAAGGGTATATAAGCTTCGGTCCGCAGCAAACCATTTCACTCGGTTCCTTTCCAGCTTCTGTCTGAGTGTGAGAAACGGCGAGATGTCCGGACGCGGTAAAGGAGGCAAAGGACTCGGCAAGGGAGGCGCCAAGCGCCACCGCAAGGTTTTGCGGGACAACATCCAGGGCATTACAAAGCCTGCGATCCGCCGTCTCGCCCGCCGAGGGGGCGTCAAGCGCATCTCCGGGCTGATTTACGAGGAGACCCGGGGCGTGCTGAAGGTGTTCCTGGAGAACGTGATCCGCGACGCCGTGACCTACACCGAGCACGCCAAGCGCAAGACCGTCACGGCCATGGACGTGGTGTACGCGCTGAAGCGCCAGGGCCGCACGCTGTACGGCTTCGGCGGCTGAGCTAGCGACTCCCACACTCCCAAAGGCCCTTTTCAGGGCCCCCAAAGCATCACGGAAAGAGCTGTAGACGCTGAGCACCAGATCTGAGCGCACGTAGCAGTGCTTTAGACCCTGCGCTCCGACTGCCTGGAGTGGGGGCTTGCAGTGAAGCAATTGCTCCGAGTTAGGCAAGTATAGAAGCGGTAACGGGGGCGGGGGTGAGTGTTCAGCCTTGGGGAGGAGACTCGAGCTGTGCGCTTAATCTTGGAAGTGCTGCAGATTGTGAGTATGCCCTTTACAACGTAGTCAATGGCGCTAGAGTTTCTGCGTCCCTTTAAGAGTACTGCAGGTGCCTTGCGGGTCTTAGGTGGTAACCTGCCGCCTCGGAATATTTATATTGAGCCCTATGCAAATAAGGTGAGCTCACTTACATCTTCCCATTGGGTCAGCGTCAGGCGCCAAAAGGGCGGTCCTTTGCGGCTCGGGCCGCCTGATTGGTGCAGGGGCGGACGGGACATCCAATAGGACAGCGGCGCCAAATACAACCCGGTTTTGGCGCCGTAAGGTCTTTAAGCGCGGTTTCTTTGTGAATGCGGGCTTGAGACCGGGCAGTGAGCCAAGTCCAAGACTCGGTGAAACTGGGGCTCCTGTGTTAAGTTGGCCACGCGGAGAGGGTGTGCGTTCTCACCGAGCCCCTGGCAGCGGTGATCGCCTGTGCGATCGCGGCCGTCCTGGAGTCAAGTTGCTGGCACTCAGCGGCGCTGTGGTCCCTGGCCACCGGCCAGGCCGAGCGTGCTGAGATGGAGATCCCCATGCAGCAGGAAAATGATCCCCGCTTCCAAGTGAAAGCCTTGCTCAGAGCCGTCTGCGGGGCCTTAAAGGGGACGTGGGTGTTAATACGTTCAGTGAAAATGAATATGGGACAGCTGTGCAATGGCGTGATCCTGCCCTGAGGGCAGCGGGGCGACAAAGGGGCTGGCGACCGGTACCCGACAAGAAATGAGGTAGGAACCAGCCTTTCTATATAGGGACTTGAGGCATAGAGCCCTCGAATGTGCAGCGTTAACCTCTCCCTCCTGCTCGGCGCTTGGAAAGGGGAAGACACATTTAACGCAGCTGAGGTTGCGGGGTTATGAAGTTGTCTGGGGGAATGGCTGCCCAGGCAGGAGTAAGCCAATTTAAGAGCGTCCTGTGCTTTGGCATCAGATGTTGAGTAGTCAAGAAAACATTGCTGCTATTTTTTCAGCCCGAGCCTGGTATTTTACTAAACACTGTGGGCCGAGCACTTTGGAAAATATTGTATTCCAGTGCATTCCATTCTGCAAATGTGTAAAGAAGTTATTAATTACCATTTTACCGCCGATAATTTCCTACAAGAGTTGAAGAAGTAGAGCCAAGATTTTTAAAACTATTTTCCCTGTTTCCTCGGTTCATTTTAGATTGTTTATTTTTCAAATAAAATGTTTTTACTGTATTTGCTGTTACAGTTGTCCACAGCTAAACTTTGAAAATGTTCCAGTGATTTTATTATTTGATGAATAATCTATAACTATTTCATTGTAGATAGATTTCATTGGGAATAGATTTTATTGTAAGTCGTAAATTGTAAAGTTTTAGGTAGTTGTGGAGTTTTCCTGTTTAGTTGTGATGTTTCCAGTTTAGCTGTTTTCCTGTCTTAGTTTCCTGTTTTAGTTGTTTAGGTGTCAACATTGATTTTCAATCATGAATTTGGATTGGAGAATGTGACCTGCACAATTTTGGGATTTTATTCAAGTTTTATTTGTAACCACTATTTTAAAATAACCCATGGGTTTTGAAAAATGAAATACAGTAAACTCTTCAAAATATTACATCAATTTATAGCTATGTTGAGTATTGTTAATTATTTTTGAAATGAAAACCATGTTTTTTCTCTTCTCGCTGTATACTGCACCTACCTGATAGTATACAGTCCTCCCCTGCTATTTTTATTTCTGTCCATTTATCGTCATACTTTAGTTTATTTTACGTAATTTGCATGTGAGTTAGTATCTAGATTTCAAGATTGCAGTACCTTCTTTATAGGTTGCCCCTTTTATAAATGTGAACAACTCAATTTTTTGTCCCTCAAATATCAGTTAATTTAAATTCCTTATTTTTGTACCTTACAAACTTGATAATCTAATTAAAATTTATTGGCCCCAAGTTTTAACAAGTTTGATTATTTGCGATAATGTGTAAAATATCCATATCTACTACAAATCAAGAGAAATAAACATTTAAAAAAATGTAATATTACACAAAGAACATCAGGAAAAAATTGTTTGACCTGTCATTCATGACAAATTTGAGTTCTTACCACCTTTCAGTATGGTGGCAGTAGACATAGTGCAAGGGATATAGTCATGAAGGAGATAACATCTCTGTTTCAAGAACTTACCAGATAGGTTATTGATGCTAATCATTTTGATATTAAATTTTAATAAGAAATCAGTTTATTATCCAATTTAAAAAGGTACATATTTTTGTATTTGTAAGATTATCTTCCACTAAATCCCTCCTCACTCAACACTCACTCAAATCATAATGTCCCAAAATATAAACAGTACCTTTACCATCTTAAAAGTTACAATATTGCATGAAAAAAAGTCTTCTGCAAGAATGTGGTATCTTATGATTTAATCAAATACATGAAATTAATTAAAATAAGTTAGAGATACATTTTATATTAATCCTCTAATTTACTAAACCACTCAACTTGCTGTACTAGCTATTAGGAGATAGACAGTGTACATATTTTCTAATTAAATATTTGTATTTCTATCATTTTCATTGATCACCATCACTGGGTCTGAATTCTGTTTACTCACCAAAAAATAAAGTGCTATGTCAGATCTGCCTTTTTATGAAATAATTCTGTTACAATTACATTTCTAAGTAATTTATAGTGTTTTTATTTTTAACTTAACCTGACAGTCTATCATTTAATAGAATTCAGATCATTCACATTTAGTTTAACTACTGTAAACATGGTTTTTTTCCTTCTGCCTTTATGCTTTTTGTTACTGTTTTTCTCAGTTTTACTGCTTCTATCAAGATACTATGTGGGACAAATGCTGCTGATGACTCACCAGGTCCTTGGTGTTCTGAACAAGGAATTGGACAAGACACACAGAAAAGGTAGTGTGGTTATGCATTTATTGAAGGCAGAAAAGAAGTATGTTCTACAGGACAAGAGCGGGCCACTGAAAAGGCTCAGAGCAGCCCTGACTGAAATGAAAGAGGTCTTTAGTATCCAGAATACCTGGATTGCTCTTGACTTCATGTGATAGGCTTTGGGACATTTGTCCTGTCAAAAACTCACTTGGCCTCACTCCGGAAGTAAACTGTGTTATCTAAAAATTTACTTGGCCTCTCCCCAGAGGTAAATGAAGGATCAGAAACAGTGACTTTGATTGGCTGTGCAAGCATGCAAATGAAGGGTTGAGAATAGTCTTCGGATTGGGCCTGCAAGCAGCACTAGATTCAGGTGAAGAACTGAAAATAGTACTTTTCTGATTGATCCACGTTGCTCAGGGGCCATAAACTTGATGTCATGCTGAGTTCTCTATTCTGTGCACATCCTCTTTTTAGGAAGTATTTTGCTCAGCATTTTAGCAGTGGGTTTTTCTTACTTTTGACGCATTCAGCAAGGACGTGAAAGGAAGATGTAGCCATCATCACTCCTGGGCACACAGCATTTTTAACTTCCTGAGGTCAGACTGCAGTAAAATGTCACCAGATGGTTCACAATTACAGTTTCCTAATCCTTCTGACTCAGCATTTTAGCAGGGAAGCTTTGGTGAGTATATCCTGTATGTTTTCTTTCACAAATTTTGACGCCTGCTGAGAAATTCATCTTTTTTGGTCTTCATCTTATCTTTTCTATTTTTCCTCCTCTTGGGCTGTTTGGATTCGGTCTCTCCAGCTTTCTCGTTCTCCTTTGGGGTGTTAGGGTACCCAGATTTCTTTCCTCAGCTAGCTGTCTTTGGAGTTTGTGTTGGTTTGTTTTTGAGACAGTGTCTCCCTATGTAGACCAGGCTGGCCTCAAATTCATGATCCTCTTGCCTCAGCCTGTGTCTCAGTTACTTTCTCATTATTGGGATAAAATACCTAACACCCACAAGCAAAAGGAAGAAAGGTTTACTTTAGCTCACAGTTTATAAAGGTTTCGGTCCCTAGTTGACTGGCTCCAAGGAAGGGTGCAAGGCAGAGGAGAAACAGTTCATGGCATGGCAGGTAGGAATCGGGGAGCCTTCTTCCTTTCCCTTTTATTCCTTCCAGGCTACAAGCCTATTGGTTGGTGCTACTCACACCCAGGTTAGGTCTTCTCTCTTTAGTAAGTCCACCATCCACACCTAGAGTATGCTAAATCAATCAGTGGACTAATGCAGTATCACCTATGATCCAGCCACCTCTTAAAAGTCTCATCTATGTGTATTTGGGGAAGGGGCATACAGATACAAACCATAACAGCCAATGCTGAGATTACAGGTGTACACCACCACACATACCTAGCTTAGCTGCATTCTTATGTTGCCTCTCAATTTCCTTCACACCTCATACTAGTTCTACCTCCTATCTGTGACCTGTGAATTTTTTTTTTTTTTTTTTTTTTGTACCGGGAATCGAACTCATGACCTCAGACTTGTCAGGCAGGTGCTTATGCCGCTGAGCTATATCCCCAGCCCTGACCTGTGAATTCTAATTCTCTGTTGACAATTCAGCCTGATTATTTTAGCTGTAGACTTGGATTTTCCTACTGACATCACCTCCTCTTAAATTTCCAGTCACCTAATGCTCAACACTTTTAAAAAATTGAATTCATAATTTTCCCCATAGATTTAACCTTCCACCTTCATTCCCTGAAAGGTAGAAACTTGGAAATTGCCCTCTTTATTTCTGCTTCTGTCATACTGTTACATTTAATCTCCATTTTAAAAGTGCTTACAATCCATTGCCTCCTCTTTATTACTTTGATCACTTCTTAGTTTGGCTTCTCACTGACTTATAGTTGTA